AGCCTGATATCCCACCGCGTCTATTGATCTATCCACCATCTTGCCGTCATTCTTCCTTATAATCACATCCACCGCATCCTCACCCGCGCTGAAGTCAACAGGTGTGCAACCAGGTATTTTCTTTGCGGCAGCAAGGCGCTCTGGAACCTTGTCAACGACGTAGATTCTGGAAGCACCCCGAAGAAAGGCGCTGTAGGCCGCCATCAAGCCCACCGGCCCCGCACCGAAGACCGCGATCGCTTCTCCGGGCTTAAAATTTGAGAGTGTAATACCATGCCAACCCGTTGGGAAAATGTCCGCGAGAAGAGCGAACGAGGCTTCGTGCGCAGTGCCTGGAGGGAGAGGGAGGGCATTGAAGTCGGCGAAGGGGATGCGTAGGTATTGTGCCTATGGTAATTGACAGATCAGCGTCATCGTCAAATTGTGCATACAGTTTGGGAAGCTGTAGCAGAACCTGAGCAGGGAAATTATACCTGACCTCCAGCATAAGGGCCCATTGCAACATACCCATAAGCTGATGACTTTAGATTAGTCAGGGGACCAAAAACGGTAAAGGAATGCGTACCTCCTCCCGCGAAACCAGGGTTGACACCGGTACAGAATGCGGTATTACCCTCTTCACAATTTAAGCAGCGGCCGTCAGCGACATTAAAGGGCAGGACCACCCTATCACCCTTCCTCAGTAGCGTTACACCGCTACCAACCTCTGAGATGATGCCCATATTCTCATGTCCTAGAGAAACAAATCGCGCGGTTGTCAGCCAATTGGCTCGTAAACGGGTCTTCGATATCGAACAGCTATAGCGCTTTATGGGAGCCCACGATCCTACCGAAGATAAGGCCTGCCTCTGCAGCTGTTCGTCCTTGGTACATGTGCAGGTCTGAGCCGCAAATTGCTAGCACTGGATGTCAGTGTCCTGTTCCTGCTAGTATCATGGACTCTTACCGGCTGTAGTTACTTTAATGATTGCATCGTCTGGATGTTCGATCTTTGGCAGGGGCACTTCTCGAACGCTGACTTGGAAGGGCTTCTCATAATGAACAGCCTTCATGGTGGTGGAAGACATACTGAGCTCTGGAACAATTGATCAAGTATGGGAAAAGGTTGCTTGTACGACTGTCTAGAGACGACATTCTTTCATCCGATCGAATATTTGCATGAAGGGCTGGTAATAATTTGTCTGCACATTGCGGGGAGGAATTGGCGGGGTAGAAGGCGAGGTATGACGTAGATCCTCAAGCCCGGCAATTATAAAAAGCTCTCGTCCGAAGAGGTGGAAAGAGAATACTAGACAGGGCAGCGTTTCGATGCTTCACTCATTGCTGGCACCATGGGAGAGCATGATGAATGGCTATTTCGCGGAGCCATCCGTGAGCTTGTTCGACACCTTGGAGCAAGCAGCATTATTCGAGCTGAGCCTCGACTTGAAATGAGAATCAAGTTCGAGCAGAAGAGGGCGATAATGCGAGAGATGAAGGTTGAAGAGGGAAGACAAAGGAAGAAGCACCGGAGGTCTCGTGCTATTCTAATCCAATCAATAAAGAATAAAGTAAGGTACTCCTCGTACTCTGTATGTACCATACCGTATGTACTGGTCAGATTTTCCTGGGACTTGAGGCTTGGCTCAGACTAGCGTGGTATCTCACTAGCGCGGTCCTCTCCAAAACACCTGGATCGGTTTGACGCGTGAGAGAGGAATTGGGAATACTTACTGTACCATAACATTTTGAGTCTTAACGAAAATTAAATATTAATACCTAGTTGTTATTGGTTTCACCGGAGCTCAAAATTGATGGTGCTCAGTCACACTGACTGACTTGACACAAAACATAAGACACGTAATGTGATACTGATTCAAAACGCGTTATGTGTTTGTTGTTTTGTATTCATTGGTATTTCCTTCCACTCGATATCTTTTAAAAGAATAGAAGAAACGACGAGAGACTTCGATCAAGCCTTAGTGATAAGGTACCTGGGAGTGGGCCTAGCAGCTATGTCTTCGCCTATCCCTCGAGGCTACCTGGACATCAATTCTGCATTGGGCCGAGTAAACGCTGAAGTCAGTCTGATGGGCGTGGTTACCGACTTCCTCACGCCCTGCATATCACGGGGCACCGATTGGATGTCTTCATTCTCAATAGTCGACTCGTCTTACGCTGGTGTCTGCGACAACGGCCTCAAAGTTCGCTTCTTCAGGCCATTGGCGAGCGAGATGCCTGCGATCAGGGGGACTGGCGATATAGTCCTTCTACGAGGTATCAAAATCAAGGAGTGGTGCGGAATGACCATAGGTCTGTCGACTCGGAGAACGTCTTGGGTGGTCTTTCCGGCAGATTCAATCCCAGCAAAACCACCATTAACTCCTGTGCAGCTCAAGAACATCAAAGAGGCTCGTGGTCTTGCTCCTGCTCTGTCTGAAATGCACTATGCCATCAGTCTTTGTAATTCCTGCAACAGAAGCACATTCACTGCCTCGTATTCTCCACCTACAGGATCAGCTTTAAAACCATTACTTGATACTCCATCGACCGTGCAGATAAGGGACAAGTTCTCCCTCGTCAAGGATGTGAAGGTTGACACATTCTATAATCTCGTCGGACAAGTTGTCAAGCTGTATCCAAGCAACGGGCGCGTCGAACTCTACATCACAGATTACACGGCAAATTGCCTGCTCTGGAACTATCCAGAACCCGATGATGGAAATGGATCTGGCCGGGAAGGAGACGAGTACAACTATACCGCAGCCAACTTGGCGAACAATAAATGGAAGGGGCCTTATGGGAAAATGACCCTGACCGTGACTCTGTGGGACAACAACGCGCACTTTGGCCAGCAACACATCAAGGAGAATGACTTCGTTCACATTCGAAATGTGCACATCAAGTTCAGCAAGGACGCCAAAGTCGAAGGAAACCTCCATGCAGATAGGCGATATCCTGAACGCATTGATGTGACCGTACTGAAAAACAATGATGATGATGAACGCGTCAAAGATGTGCTCCGGCGCAAGCGGGACTACTGGAAGAAGTTCAACAACAAGGTGGAGGATTTTGCTCACCAGACCAAGGCACTTAAGCGGAAAGGCATGGAGGATGACAAACCTCTGTCAAAGCACCAGGCCAGGAAGAAGCGGAAGCAAGAGAGTAAGCAGCTCGGTAGGTCAATAAACCAGGGTGAAGAAGACCAGAGTGAGAAGGAAAACGACGTAAGAGAGGACAGAAATCGCCATTTCAAAAAGAAGCATACACTTGACCATCGCTCACCACCCCAAAAGCAAGAGCTGAACAGTAATGGTAAGCAGGGATTGATTGGGCGAAAGATCTTGGCTGATGTATTGGCCAACTAGTCAGATGCGCACACCATCTCATAGCCCCGCGGCCTGTGTCCTCTATCATCTCGCTTGATAAGCACGCTAACACCCCGCCGAACGGAGCACCATACACCTTACCCTTTCAGAACATCAACTCACGTGCTACAGTCCGTGTCATTGACTTCTTCCCCCCTAGTGTTGTTGATTTCGCAGTTCCTCGTCCGAGAGCCTCAGAGTACGCCATTCTATCCGAAGATGAATGCAGCGAAAGCGGTAGTGACCAGCAAAGTAACGACCTGGATGACAGCTCTGGAGCGGAGGATGCACAGTGGGAATGGAGGTTTGGTTTGGTGCTGGAGGATGCCCTAGGCGCTAGACACCAGGAGAAAGTAAACATTGAAGTTTATGTAACCGGCCAAGATGCCGAGGGTCTACTGAAGCTTGAAGCAGAGGAGTGAGTATCTTTGCTACTCGCTTTCAACGCCATGGCTAAAATTTCATCCTCACTCCTAGCCTTCGCAAATCGCCCACCGCTCTAGATACCTTGCGTGAGAGACTGTTCCTCTTATGGGGTGATCTCGAAGAGCGAAAAGCCCGCAATGCAACGGCTCTCAAGCAAGTCGATGGCAATTCGCCATCCCCCAGGAAGGTTGCAGCGCCGAGGATGAAACCGTTCCAATGCTGCCTCAAAGAATATGGCGTGAAGAAGAGAACGCAACGGATTACGGAGGAAAATGCCAGTGAGGGTGAAGATGAAAGTGGAGACGAACGTGGGCAAGACCGAAACGACTGGGTTTGGGAGAGAAGATGGAGGATGTTTGGGTGCACCATTTCCTGAGCCGAGTCTTGAGTATGCGAGAGAAGATGAGGACCTTGCACGATTTCTTGATCTGAACGCCACTTCCAAGGGTCTTGATTTGATGGGTTAGCTATGGATCGTATTATACCCAATCTGTTGAAGCTGCTATTCTCGCTACTATGACTGCTCCTCCATAGTGAAATATTAATGTGCCAGGAGGGCATGTTGTTCCCGTTAGCCATTATGTGATTTAAAAACCTAATCCCACTACCATGACTGCTCCTTTTCAGTGAAAATAGAACCTGCCAGAAGCGCATACTATCTGGTTGCCGATATGTGACTTGAGAACACATGTGTTTGTGTACCACACCGCGTCAAGTCGATATGACCGCCATCTGGCGGTATCCTACTTTCCTACTTTCAGAGTCTTGACAACGGCCCTATCGAGCCCATGCAACTCCCTCTCAAAGCGGCAATTCTCACCCCAACGACAATCCTTCTTTCCTACATTATGGCCCCAGGTTAGCACGCGGACTGCAATAATTGGAAATTTTTCAAAAAAGGTAAGGTCGAAGGAGACTGGGTACATGCCTTCGACATCGTTGGGGCATCGATGCCCGTATATGCACTTCAGATCATCACACTCGCTACCAAATTTGCAAGGCGTCATACGACTTACATACTTGAGCGTCGCCATCTCGTTCTTGTTGGGTTTGTAGAAATGATCGTGGGTACATGGGTCGTAAGGACAATCACCTCGTAAAAAGTCTGGAGATCACCGAGTCAGCGTTCCCCTTCAGCATAGAACCGAAGTTCGAAATCAAATTCGGGGCGGTTGAAGGTGGAAGCGTCCAACTACCAATGATGACAATTATGCGAACTTCAGTGATCTACTTACGGACGTTACACATCTTGAGTTTTTTGATGCGCTTGACTTCATTTGGATCGTAGGACATGATAGGGTCGATCCGCTGGCCGTAGCGGTTGCGAAGCACTTGCTTGGTGACATATGCAGTTGGCTGAGGCGTGGGGGGGGGTGAAGCCATTTGGGAAGGCGCCGTCATTGCGGCGGAAGCCCATGTGGGAGCCGCTGGATTCAGTGGCGCCGAGGGCGATGCGGAGATTGTACGTGCAATGCCCGGTTGATATGGTGACTGGTAGGGGGGTAATCCCGCTGTTAGCTGCACTTGAGGCGGTGGTAAGCCCGGCGGCTGAGGATACTGCTGATTGTAAACGTTGATTTTTGTAGCACGGAACAGTCCCTCGAATCTTGTTGTACGATAGGTTGATTTCAGCTGGAATAGCTCTCTTTCAAATGGAACGCCTTCCAAAAGGGTAATCTGATCGCGAATTGGTTTATCAGGAACATCCTCCAGTAATCGAGCGTAGCCGTTATCGTGGGAACATCCAAAGAGAATGCGCCGGCAGTGAGAGTCGTAGAGATGAAGCTTGAAGATTTCTGGAGAATTGTGAGCCACTCGAGCTGACGATCGTAATTGGAACTCACCAGATATTTTGTCATCAGCACGGTCTTTACCTACAAGATGTCTGGATCAGTATCCCCTTTCGACACAACTACTGAGCCATTAAACTCCTAAAGAGCATGACACTCCCAAAATATGCATTGCAACCCGGATACATGCTCGAGTTTGAAAGAGAATAGCTCAAAGGTTTGGCTTACCAACACCAACATCCACAAAGTCGAATAATTGCTTGCTTCCGGTAAATCCTCGCGCAAAGTCCTCAATCGCGGACGACGTACTTAATATACCTGACCTTTTGCAGACATCGCCAAGGCCTTTCAGATTGGCATATATCCTTGTGACAATTTTAACGTCGGATGGTAAGTCTGTGTCGGTTTGGAAATGGTCCATGACCGCGTTCCAGAGCAGACCAGCGGCTTCTCGTCCCCCAGCCTCGCCAATTTGAACAAGTCTATCGTCAAAAATCATGCCATCACCATCTATTAGTACCAGGATAAAAGCATCCCGGTCCTGTGAATGGTCAGAATTGTTATCCTTTTCGGATTGCACCCATGCTATATGCATCAGGGAATGGCATTCGCCCTTACCATGAGAGCTTTGTATTTACGCAGCTCGTCTCGCAACTGGATTTCTTGGAGCTGAACTTCACGATTAAAGTGAGATTCCCGGGCATGATCCAGCTTTTCTTGGTGAAAATCCTCAGTAAGTTCATCTAGACGGCGTAAAAGTTCCTCGATGAGAGCGTTTTTATGGTGTTCTGCGCCCTTCAAAAGGTCGTATCGCTGCCGAAGAGCGATGTTCTCCTCGGTGGCCATGTTGTGAAGCGGTCAAGAAAATGGGTGGCAGGCCCCTTAGATTAATGGAAAGAGATTGAGGAGATGAAGAGTACAAAAGCCGAGGTTGATTGTGTGAAAGATGGCAAACCTTTTGAATGATTCAAAGAGAGCGGGAGAACTGGTGTTGTGGAAGAAACAGGATACCTGCATAAATAGTTTCAGCGCGTACATAACGAGACGTGAATTTGATAGGGCTGGTGCTAGCTTCGCTTATGTAATCATCGAAAAAGAAATCGGCCCTTGGACGCCAATGAAGCGACCTTTTTTCTTCAATTTTGAACAGTTGCAAAAACAGCTTTTTGCTCCACATACCTTCCAACATCATGGGATACGCCTCTCTGGCTACAGTTGCGTTGCTCGCGTTACGATTCAGTGGCGCCTTTGCACAAGATGTACGCTTCTTGCCAGAAGCCACCTGGTCGCAAGCTAACTTCTCGGACAGGCAGATGAAGAAGTCGAAAACCCATCCACCTCCCCTAGCATAGCTGTCAAGATCTCGACGTCATTTCCCTCGTCGGAGATTTTCGGCATCAAGCTAGTCAACGGTCACCCGACCCAAGCTCTCCTCTCTTTTTCCAACCAAGAGCCAGAACCCATCAGCGTCGCCTTCATTGGAGGCAGTCTTTGGACCACTGCATTTCCTCAACAGGGCCCACAAATTGTCCGTAACCTGACGACCACGAGGTACAATGTGGAGATCCCCGCTGGCCAGAGCGAGAGCATCAGCTACAGTTTTGCTACGGAGCTTCAGCCACAGGACTTGAAACTCAATCTGGCGGCTGTGGTAACCGATAGCGAAGGGACTCCATACACTCTGCCGGCGTTCAACGAGACCGTCAGCATTGTCGAGCCCGATACTAGCATCTTCGATCCGCAAATGTTAGTATCACCTACCTGTTGTTTTGATACCTCGGGGATGTTCGACGCTGACATCTTGTAGCGTCTTTCTCTACCTATTCCTCGGTGCCGCCTTTGGAGGCACATGCTACTTCATATACAGCACCTGGATCAGCACCCTCTTCCCGCAGAAGCGTCGCGGAGGAAAAGGCGGTGAACGGGCCAAGAAATCATCTGGCCAGTCGAAGAAAGTTGATCCCGCGGATCAGGTTTCTGTTGTGGGAGCCGATGGACCTGCGGTTACTTCTAGCGCGAAAGCGTATGATGAAAGCTGGATCCCTGCGCACCACATCAACAGGCCTCAGGCTCAGAAAATCAAGAGTAGTGGGAGACCCAAGAGCAGGAGCAAGCAGCCTGAATAGGATGGTTCTGTCTTGACCGAGCAACGACCTAGACTCCGCCCGAAGACTGCGGTATTTGAGAGGTCACAACATAGACCATCAGTGTACAAAATGTGTACGAGTTTGGCATGCTACGTACGGTAGAAAGGCTCCATGCTCTAGAGCTCGGTAGCGACGAAGATGTGTATTTTACTGCCTCTATGATTGGGAGACCGTTCCACCAGCTCAGCCCCAATAAATGCACACAAACTTAGCAATGCAATGCGTTTCGCTTCGGCGCCAGTTGCCAGCATGCTGTTCCTTTCCCCTATTCTCTCTTCCACTCCTCAAACTCCTCGTCGAGATGTTCCTTTAATCTTGAGAATTTATTCCCGAACACCTTGCCACATCTCCAACACTTCAAGTCGCGTTCCATATAGCGTTCCTTGCTCGGATGTCTTCTCCTGTCCTGTCTATCCAACGGAAAGTCTTCGACATCGATCAGGAAGGGCGTTGAGAAGCTGTTGTAATGCTTCTTATGTTTCATACATTCGCTATGTCTGTCGACCGACAGGATGTGGATGTGCAGGTGATTCATGCTAGGACCGACATGTATACCGGAGATGACTGACTGTGACCAATCACGTCCGATGGGCAGATGTCGGGATTCGCCATCGCTGTCTCCGTCTAAAGCATCAATAGCTTTCTGGCGCTTTTGATCAAGAGCGGAATACTTGCTGTAGCGTCGGTGCAATTCTTTCGCTGCCAGTCTTCGTAGCTTCTGCACCTCGGCTTGCACGTCTTTCAAGAAGTCCAGATCCCTAAAAGCTTCAAAAGGGTGCAGCAGCTGTTTTGAAGCGTCGCGTGGTAGGAGCAGAATGTGAACGGAGGATTTGGGAAAGAGGTCATTGATTACGACCCATTTCTCATCATGGTATATAACCCTTGAAGTAGGGAAGGAAGCAGGGGAAGCAATATAGGCGCCTAGACCGTCGCGGCCCAGAAAGGTTGTTGTTCGAGCTGGGTCAGAGTGAGGAGTGTCCAAGGGGGGCACTTTCTTTGAAGGAGGAGGTTTTTTGGGAGACATAAGGTCACTGACTGCAAACACAGGTCAGCAGAAGGTACGTAAAGCGAGGATCTTGGGGGGGAGTACATGCGTTCCGTTCGGGAAGTGTGCCTTTTGGGGGGACTTTTGTGCTTGCGATCTCCTCTCCCGTAGTCGCATCTTGGTTCTGGGCCGGCTGTGTCATCTTTCTCGATCCCGTGGAGCTCAGGTACCGTGAAGATGACTGGGAGGGAGGGACACTGGGATCCAAAGTCAACAATGACGCATGTAAGACTATTGGTTCGAGGGTTGCAAAGTACCTAGGTCCGATTTCAAGAGCGGAAACCTCCGCCCAGTCTTGTTCAAACGGGCTTAGCTCAAATCCCAAGTTGACCAATCAGACTCACCCAGTTTTATTTCTCGTAGTTCAACGCTCACAGGTCTCAAATCCACCATCCTAGCCCATAGCCAGATTGTGACCCTGCACCATGAAGCATCTAGTCGGGTTAGAATACTCAAGTCGACTTCCTCAGACACCCTGCTGCATTCCAGGGAATCACAGGATAGTGAGCAACGAGAGATCTAATTGTCGGCCTCGTTTTTCAATTTCAACATCATCACATCTAGCGACTCTCGCGCCCGCGGTTTTGTCCAAGTTTGACGTTCAAAAGAAGGATTTTCAAGATCTTAGACTATCACTTTTCCTGACCATTATCCCGACAACTCCTGACAATGACGTTGAAAACAAAAAACGAAGCCGATACGAGTAGTAGATCAATCGTTCTGAGGCGTGCAAAACTGATTGCTGTCCACGCCTTTTCGCCGTTGGGGGAATGCCTAGATTGGAGATTACATAACAATTGTTGAGTCTCAGGTTGCTCTCATTGGAAGCTGCATTTCCCTCAGAGCGAGGTATCTTGATTAGCTCTAGACTGGAACTTTACGATAACGGATGCTCCGTACGAGCTGGCCTTCTTTTGTTCTTCTTGCAAACAGATAGATTAGGTTTGTCGTCTCCAGTCATTGGGTTTCATCATGTTTCTGGAGAGCGAGTTGCAGGTGCCCAGCTCCTGCCATGGGCAATCCGTCTCGAAGATACCATGAGACGGATGCCGAATTTTTATTGCCAAATTGGCTGAGTTCTAGCGTTGGGTCTCAATTCATGCCCTACTCAAAATATCATGGTTCATTTCTAATCTCGTTCTCTTATTTAAATGTTCACTAACCGTGCCTGACAGCGCTCCAGCGCATTTCCATCTTGACGAACAACATGTCGGCATTATAGCCGTGATGGGCTTGGTCATCCAATTGTTTGGATACAAGTTCAATATGGTATGTACACAGTCGAGTAGCGAAGCATCAGAATCCGAGTGCAACAAAACCCCATTGTATGACGCTGTACATTTCTCAACACTTTTTTCCTACTAAGAAGATGGACCCGGGTCCGGATCGTTGTACCCCATGTAACAATCTTTCCCAAACATAGCCTTGTAATAGGTGTTTCCCTCCTCGATACCATTCAGGAGGACCCAAGGAGCTAATTCCTGATAGCATTCGGAATTACTGGTCTTACTATCAGGTGGCCCCTTGAACCACCCTCTGCCCCCGCATACATTGCCATTCCAGCTGTTGGAAAAGCTCCCGCACCCATAGTCATTGAGACAGTTGGTCAAATCGAGCTTACTGAGCGCCGGGCTACCCCCTGAGGACTGTTCGGTTACAGTGTTTTGGTTTTGCAGGAGGGCACTAGGATCTGTGTAAGAGATGCAGCCGGGACCAGTGTTCAGCATGTCGTCACGCTGTGCAAGATTTCTTTCTGGAAGACTGATGCCCATGGACGCTGCAGCAAGTGCGAACAGGATAAGAAGCATGTGACGCATGACGGATGTTCTAGCACAAGGTCAAACGTCAGTCAAGCTTGTCAGGTACTGAGACGGAAACGGACTCCAAGAACTCCTCGATCTATACTGCAGCTCAAGGTTGGGATAGAGCAATAGCTCTGTCACCTTCGTGAGTGTCTTTTCTGCTGTGTGACACGACAACCCGTACTGGGATATGTAGGCGGGCTTCTGCAGGCCGACACCAAATCTTCCAAGCGGTAACACTGGAGAGGGACAATCAAAGGAAGGGACTTCCAGTCATTTGAAGTAGGTTCCTCGTTTTTACATTTGTGCAAACTGGCTATCTATACTACGAAGCGTTACGTACCCGAACCGAGGATCACAAAGTCACTAAAGTAGGCATTTGAGTGGAAGTTGATGTTTGCAACGTCCTATGACTCGTTTCATTCAATTATTCGCGCGTTATGCGGCTGAGTGTGGCGAGTCAGTACCTGTGAAGACAACTGGTCTGCTTGACCTCTGGCTTGCTTGCGCGCACAAGCGTTTTTCATGTATAGCCCACTGACATAGTAATAATGGGGCCTCATCCCTGCTATTGTTTGGAGACAGGCTCCACTCATCAAACTTTGCTGATATTCTTCTACTCATCAGGCGATCAAACGTGTTTGGTTCTGACAGCAAGGCGCTTGTAGCCGGCAGCAAGGCCTGCGCGTAACCGGCAATTCGAGAGATGAGCGTTCAACAAGGCACGAAATCTGATTGGACCCCATTTCAGGCCCCAATAACAGCATTAGAGGGATCGCTTGACACTGTGAGACGTGTTCAAAAGACAATACATGTTCAAAGCTGCTGACAAAAGATGTATGATCACAACTGATTCCTTATCGGAAGTAGAAGGGCCGCAATCCTGGGTTAGAGTTTGTTGTTCTCGCACAACGCGGCAACGACATTAGGGACGTTCAAGGCCTATGAGTACGCTGAAACGAGGCTGCAAGCGCTCTGTGCGGATATATTATACGGGGGAAGCGGATCCCTGCCTGCCATGCTCGCTGACGTGGGGGTAAGGAATGGTCGTCCAGAAGTTTATCATCTTCGAAAACAGTGGTGATTTGCTGCTGAGATTATTGAGTGTAACGCTCGTGGGCGCCGGTTGACCTTCTGAATTGATTTACTCTGTCCCAAGGGGCTCTTCTCATGTTGTTCTTCGTGTGGTTACCCTTGGGTATGAAGTGGAGTACATTTCTTTGACCGATGATTGATCATGTGTAAAAGTACTAAGGTAGGTGAACTCCACGCTAGTATTGAGCCACTAGCCACAAAGTCCCGGAATAAATCCGAGATTTTTTTTTTCAAATTCACTACTGGTGCTACTCACGACCCATCTTCTTTATTGGATCCCCTCCGCTAAGTTGTCGATTGTTCAAAGCGTCCCCTCGAGCTCATTTACGGGAGTCATTTGTTATGGTATCTTCGACACCTTTTATGGACCACGGTATTTTCTTGACCCTTGCGCTTCCTGCGGGTTGACATTTTTCCAGCCACAGATTAACTCAAAGATCGGTTGCAGTTTCTTTCAATTTCTACAGTTCTGTGTCTAATTTTTGGCCGAGAAGGCTACGAAGCCAAACACTCTTGGCTTAAGACCTCCTGTAACAAAAGAAGTGATCAAACTGTTGATTGCATTTTATACAAATCCTGCCTTTTGAAATTCTTCAACATTATGGCATGTCTAGAAGGTTAATTCATTGAGGAAAACACCCATGTTCTCTTCGTACTACTTGCTCTTATCGAAAGATCGAAACTAGTCCACAGCCTGAGTCCTATTCCTTCTATGCGAGGCACCATGCAATATTGAGTCGGTAGTGCGATTCCAAGTATGCCCAAAAACGGCAACCGCGGCGCCAACACCAGGAAATCAAATGTTTCGCTCGCTTCAAACAATGAGGACATTGACAGCAATGTTGTCTTTGGACATGCCAAGACCACGAGGAAGGCAAAACAAAGCAGCACAGCAGAAGACTCGGCCACGAAAGTTGGAGATATTGTTCCAGCTTCGAGTGAAGATCCGCCGAAGCAGCCAGACACTAGAAAGTTGGTAAGCAACATTGAAAGTCGTCAGATTATTACCAACATGATTCCAAAGATATCATTCGGAAGCGGCTTTTCCCACTTGAATTTTCCCTTGGCTCAAGTCTCATCTTAAGAAGTAAATACTGACTCCGGGTTCTTGCAGATAGGAGGGGCATCATGGACTGGTAAATTGCCCGTAAATATACTTTCAGAACATTGCCAGAAACAGCGATGGGCCAAGCCGGAGTATACTATGGCAAGTTCTGTCAAGGCCAACTCCCAATTCTTGGCCGTTATCTGACTCTTGCGCAGAGTAAAACCCCAGAAGGATTCTCTTCAATGGTCATCCTCAAACCTACCAATCCAAAGACAAAAGAGACCCTTGTTCTTCCTTCTTTCAAGCTCCCGCCATCTCATAAGCATCTAGCGGTCCAACCAACGGCGCTGGAAGCTCGACATTTTGCCGCAACATACGCCTTATTTCGTGTCTGTAGCATGCGCAACATCCACATGATGCTTCCGCCGAATTACCGAGATCTATGGAAAACTGCTTTTCAAGATCTGAAATCTGACGATGTGAAGCAAGGTAAAGGTTGGATGTACGAGGCCGACCCGTTTGCTGCCAAGCAGGAGCGAGAAGAGGCTCAGACATTGATGGCAAAGAAACGGGATGAGCGAGAGAAGCAGACAGCAAAAGAAGCGGATCAACCGGCTCACATACTGAGTGCTGCTCGTTCAAATGGTGGGAACTCAAACCGTAATGTTATGAAAGGCTGGACAAGGGTGCCTAAAATTGATATGGCAAAGCGGACTCGAGCTCAAATTGAGAGCCTTGTTCGGAGAGACGACAGGTGGAACATTTACGCTGCTCGAATATCCGAGTTCCAATGTCGAAATATCGTCAACGAATTCGTAGGTCTCGGCTTCCGAAAGAGCCATATAGAAGAGGCGGTACAAGAGTGTAAGGACCGTGAGGAGACTCTCGAATGGTTGATCATCCACGTCCCAGAAGATGATCTACCAATTTGGGTTCTCCCTGAAGGCTATACCGCGGGCCTCAGCATGGCTTCCGGTAATGTGAAAAGAGAGGCTTCCATTAAGAGGCTTGCAGAAGCAGGTTATTCGAGTGAGCGTTGCTCAAGACTTTTGGATGATTGCCATGGCAATGAGAGTATTGCTGCTGAAGCACTGCAGAACGAGCTCGTTCATGCGGGATCAGATGAACAAATCAGCTCAAATATCTCGTCTTTGAGCTTCGCCGAGGCCGGTTCCGAGTACCAGGACCCTAGCTGGGCAGAGGAGCAAGAGACTCTTAGCTCTATCTTCGGCGAACGGTTCAAAATCATTGAGCGTCATCTGTTCCAAGTACAATTAAACATCGCGGAGCTCCAAGCACCTTTTTGTCTGAGCGTAAGGAAATCCAGAATGTATCCTCAACAGCCTCCGACAGTCTCCATAATCTCACCTGGACTTCCTGCCTATATTCGACTAAGCATCATCCGTCGGCTGATCCACCACGCGGCTGCGGATCTCTCAGGCGAGCCCATGATATTCAACATGGTCGATTGGCTTGAAAACAATATACCAAAAATTCTTAACAATCCTGGCAGACTACATGATGTTTCCGCTGTGGCTTCTGGGCGTAGCAAGAAACCGGTGCTTAATCCTGAAAAAGAACTAAAGGCTCGGGGGATACCCATTCAAATCCATGGCAATACGCGGAGCCCGCAGAATCTCGATATCTTTAACCGTTGGCAAGCCAAACAAACAACGCCGCAGCAGCAGAAAATGCTTGCCGCTAGACAGACGTTGCCAGCATGGAGGCTGCAGGAAGCCATTGTCAACGCGGTCAATGGCCACCAAGTCACTATAATCTCCGGTGAGACTGGTTCAGGAAAATCAACTCAATGTGTTCAATTCGTCCTGGATGACATGATCAAACGTCAGATTGGAGCGGCGGCAAGCCTCATCTGCACACAACCCCGAAGGATATCTGCTATAGGTCTTGCTGATCGTGTGAGTGATGAGCGATGCTCACGCGTAGGCGATGAAGTTGGCTACGCTATTCGAGGCGAATCAAAGCAGAAGTCTGGGACTACTAAAATCACCTTTGTGACCACGGGAGTGCTGCTCCGACGATTGCAGACATCTGGCGGGACTAAAGACGACATTGTGGCTGCTTTAGCGGATGTGAGCCATGTGGTAGTAGACGAAGTACATGAGCGTAGTCTTGACGTGGTACGTAAATTCTGGCAACAAATCCCCCACGGATGTTTCAATATTGAGTCGCAGGACATGTCTCAGGAATAAAGGACAATCCTCATTCTCTAGATCTCTCTTATCTTCGGTCCCACTGCCGTGATTACGCAACGCTGATTCCGAAACATTTGTAGGATTTCCTCCTGGTACTACTCAAGGAAGTTTTGGGCAGACGAGAGGATCTGAAGGTCATTCTGATGAGTGCAACTCTCGACGCTGGCGTTTTTGAGGAGTACTTCAGCAACTTCTCAGTTGCGACGATCGAGATCGAGGGTCGCACATATCCCGTTGAAGACTACTACCTGGACGATGTCATCCGTCTGACAGGATTCAATTCAGGCTCGCGTAAGAATGAAGAAAGTGATGAGGATGACGTGAATCCGTCTGTAGCAAGTACCATTCAAGGAATCGGTATGAAGATCAATTACAGTCTAATTGCCAGCACCGTACTGGCCATCGACTCAGGTTTGGGCTCTCAGGAAGGGGGCATACTCATATTTTTGCCGGGCACTATGGAAATCAACCGCACTCTTGACGCTCTTCGAGGGTGTCCTAACATGCATGCATTACCGCTACATGCTTCACTGATGCCCACAGAACAGCGACGTGTCTTCTCACCAGCACCTAGGGGCAAAAGAAAGGTCGTCGTCGCCACCAATGTCGCCGAAACCTCTATCACAATTGAAGACATTGTCGCGGTCATCGACTGT